CCGCCCCTCCCAGTCCTCTCCTTTCCCCCACTTCCAGGGCCCCAGCCATTCCTCCACCCGGGGAACCCCCCCTTCTTACCTGCCTGCCCACTTCTCCATCACTCCTCCTCTATGGGGCGAAGGAGGAGGGGACGGAAGTAAACACACTATTCAGTCATCTGGGCGCGGAGGGGCTGCTCGCTGCAGGGACAGAAGCCTGGTGGTTACTCCAGAAAGCTTGGGGTTGAGAGGGATGACTCCGCAGAAGGTCATCTCGAAGTGAGGATGTGGGAGGGGGGAGACTGGCCCATCCCCTTATGATCCTAAGGGTGAGCGTGAGAAGGCATGCGCCCTTGTCCAGCTGCTGAGGCCAGAGGGTGGAGGGCTCAGACTCAGCCTCCTCCCCCAGCCCCATAGGAACTCCTCAGCTCCTCCCTCGTCCCAGCTAGGAACTGTTCCTGGGCCAGCTCGGGCCCATGCGTCTTTCTTAGGATGGTCTTCCCTTGGCTCCCACGCCTGCTCTCCTGGAGGTCCCGGGGGAGGAGGGAGGCTCCGGGGAAGACAGGCCAGGCGCCCCCTTGAGGAGCTGACAAGAAACCCGTGGGCTTTCTGTTTCCGACCTGCCTCCCAGTCTCTTCCCTTCTTAGCTAAGCTGCTTCTGAAACTGAGGCACAGGTCTGCCTGCCTTGAACGAAGTGGGATCAACTAAGTGGGCTGATGGCTTAATCTCTAGAGAAGCAGGTGATGTTCCCATTTCCATTTAACCTCCCTTTAGGGGCCAGCGTCCAGCACTGGCTCAATGAGAGCTTATTTCAGGGGTGACAGTGATGGACGGGATGGGGGGGGAACCTGGGAAGGAAAGATGCAGCCATAGCTGCCGCCACTCCCCAGCCACAGGCCTGCCATTCCGAAGAGCCCAGGCGTCCGTCCCGAAGTCTAGTTGATCAATCAGGAAAGTGGCGCTTGGAGCCCTCCCCGGACTCAAAGCCTGACATTCCTATGGCTCCCCCATGGCCCTCCAGCCCCTTCCTGTTCAGTACCAGCCCTCCCCACCCCCACTCTTCATCCCACTCTTAGTTATGCTTTCCAGGAAAAAAAAATGTTTCTGTTGGATCTGAAAGGCACCCGGGAAAGGAGTCCAAGGAGCCAGTGCCGAGGTGGGCCAGCTCAGGGGCCGGGAAATGACAGCGGGAAGGGCAGGAATGTGCTTGGGGATAGCAACCGTCAGCCCACTCCCTCCCGAGACCCTAGGACTTGGGAATCTGAGGGCAGGATCACAATGGTTGAGCCTGACCTGCAGGGTCACCCCAGCTGCTTGGGGTTGGGGAGGGGGTTGCTGTTGGCTGGGCTGACCACTGAGGTCAGTAACTCCACCCTGATGGAGGGGGCGGGAGGTAGTGGTTCCAGAGAAGGGCCCAAGTTCCACCCAAACCTTCCCCTCTGCCTGACGCAGTGACTTGAGGTTGAAGGGAGGAGAGCTGAGGGTGACGGTCACCGCCCGTCCCTTCTCTGCTTCGGGGTCCCCTTTCCTCTCCTCTCTGACTCTGCTTCCCTCTGCTCCCCCAGCTCTGTGTCTTGTCGTCTCTCCCATGGATCTACCCAGCACACATAATCCTGTCCTGAGCTGGGTTTGGCTTTGGCAGTTCCCTGGAGAAGTGAGGGGTGGAGGGTGGGGGTGACGTGAGCTCCTGGGGCCCTCGCCAGGCCTGGCTCCCTCTCTGGAAAAGTCCCACCCCAGCCCCCCTGCACAGCTGGGCAGGGGGCCGACGGCCCCTCCGCTGCAGAAACAGGACACACATGTGCTTGTTACCCCTTCCACGTCCCGCATCTGGTGGGTCCCTCACTGCCCAGGGTGAGGGAAGGAGAGGTCAGAAGTGGTGCTCCGGTGCCAGGCCGGGCATCGGTCTGGATAAACCTGGGCTCCTCCTGGCCACACCTTCACACTGGCCAGTGAAGATCAAAGAGGAGAGAGACCTGGGCAGGGCGAACTGAGCCTTTTACCCCCAGAGGCACCCACCTCTGGGAAGGGGGGTGCTTGGGGGGAGAGGGCTGGGCAGCATGTTCAGGCTGGCACGGAGCCCCTACCCCGGGTAGAACTCCTGGGTCCTCAGGGCGCCCTCCATTCCTGGGTCCTGGAGGACCGGCCCAACAGGTGTCTTCCTTCCAGTCATCAGGCTGTGCTGGATCTCGGGCACCCACCTGCATCCCTCCCAGCGCCCCTGTCCCCCAACTCTAGGAGGGACGGGGGGGGGGGCACACCATCCTCCAGGGGAGGGCGGGAGGCGCTGGCGCGTGCGAGGACGTCCTAGCATGTTTTCCAGTTTGACTATGTGACTTAGCAGGAATCCTGGCCGGTTCTTCTCCAGGGCGACCCGGGCAGAGTCCGGGGTCAGAGCCCCCTCCCCAGGAATTCGACCTCCGGGACTGGAGGGTCCGGCGCGGCTCTGAGCGCTGGGGTCAGGGTGGTGGTGA